TGCTATTTTGTTGGTGTTTTATTTTATGTTTGAATTTCTCTCCGTATTGCCATTATGACAGAAGGTCTTTAGACTTGATGAAATCTCATACTATAAGAAGAGTAGAGTACAAAAATACAGCCAATTCAGTTGGAAAATCTGTATGAGCTCATGTCTTTAAAAAGGACAGATTTTACCACTCCATCACTACTAAAAATGTCCCAATAGCAGCAGCCATGCTTTTTCCTATCACCAACTCTCGTAAGTACTGATAATACCTGTATTTTTATGTCTTACACTATTTCAACACCAAAATGAAATAGGATTTCCTAGATACTTTTGGTTGGAAACTCAGGATGGGTCTGGAATGTCCTTTTGTTGTCAAAAAGCAAGTATGTATCCCATGACATCAGAGGTCATGTTAAAAATATAAAGGAGTCAGTGTTGGGGGCTTCCACTGGTCAATGTGAACATCAAAAAGACAACGATAATTATGATTAATCAGAATAAGTAGAATGTAAAATTATAATATTCTATAACAGATAAGCATTTATAACAATACTGAAAAGAACCAAGTTAATAAAAAATGTGTAAAAGGCAAATATAAAAATGACTTTAATATTAATGTTTAAATTTTATTTTAATGTTTATATATATTATGTGTGTAAAAATCAAAGACTCATAACTTTACAGAGTTATATGCTGCTTAGAAAGCATTCATTCCAAAAAGCACAATAGCATAATGGTTATAAAGGTGAATTCTAGAGCCGACTGTCTGAATTTATTTCCAAATTCATCATTGACTAATCTCTTTGTGCCTATTTCCTCAATTGTAAAATGAAAATGGCAGTACCTATTTCATAGAATTTTTGTGAATTTAAATGACTAAATACATGTCAATCACTTAGAACCATGCCTACATGATAATCATGCTACTTAAAAAAAAAATCTATCCATCTTTTATCTCTCTGTCTGTCTATCTATCTATCTATCTATCTATCTATCTATCTATCTATCTATCATCTATCATCTATCATCTATCTATTCCTAAAGCAAAGAAGGGAAACTGATACCAATTTCTGTGTCAGTTAAAGCACATTTATCATAAACATCAAACATGAGTTTGAATAGGATTTCTGTCACTGTCAATGGAAAACATCCTGATTATTATAAAATTCCTCAAATGAATAATAAATTCCTCAAAGGAATTAACCTCAATATTAACCTCAGATGAATAACTATAAATTCCTCAAAGGAATTTATAAATTATAATATAAATTTATTAGTTAAATTAAATATAAATTTATATTTATATTAAAATAGAAATTTATTTTATAAGTATAATTATAAATTTATATCATAAATATAATAAAATATATAAATTATATTTTATATAATTAATAAACTTCTCAAAGGAATTTATAATTATAATAGTGCCTGACATACAGCATGAAGTTAATAAGTTGGTGCTGAAATACAATAAACTGAAAATACTGGAAGCTAAAATTAATGTTAAAATTTGAAATATATTCCCAATATCCTATTAGAAATAGTTAGTTTTGTTCATCTTTAATGGGTACTGTGACAGATTGCAATATGCCTTCCCTAATATTTCTTTAGTAATTTTATTAATTGATCAATTAAATTTTATTTGCAATTCCAACACAGGTATCTATAAGACTACATGTATCAACTTCTCTTGTAGTTAGGTGTGGCAGTGTGACAAAGTTCTGTTCAGTAAAATCTAAGTAAAAGTGTGGTGTGGGCCTCTTTGAAAGCCTCCTTAAAAGGAGAAGCCATTATATATTTTTTCTCCTTTCTTTCTTTCTGCTTCCTGAAATAGAGACATGATGACTAGAGTTCAGGCAACCACTTTGGACCTTGAGGCAATGCACTGAATATAACAGAACAGAAAGACAGAGGAAGCAAGACATTGTTGAGTTGATGCACCAGACTTGAACTGCTTACCTATGAGAGTTATTCTGTCTCTCTCATACACATACACACACACACACACACACACACACACACACACACACACAATTTTTTCTCCTAGATCGTATCAGTATAAATTACAGATATCATGACAGGAAGGTAGCATTCTGATAACATACAACTGTAAAATTATATTTCACATTTAACTGCAGCCTACATTGAATTAGGACTACATGCATTTAAATCAACTTAGCTTAATATTTGAAGGTGTGGTTGCTTCTACTTCATGATTGGGTGGGAGCATAATTTATGTATTCAATATGAAATTACTCCTTATAACTAATCACAGATAAGAACATGAAATGATTGAAAGGACATCAATTCATTGAAAATATACTCATCAGAATGTTAAGAGATGTAAATAATCAATACAATTTCAGAATAAGCTTCCACTAATAAAAGATGATTTATGGATTCATGACAAAACAAACATGTAATTGATGTTGTGTGTTGCCTACTTAGGTTTAAATGTTACATTTAAGAATGTCTTTAAAGAAATACAAATGGGTGTATTTTTCTAGATCTATTTCAGGTCTAGAAACTGATAAATATGAGTACACTAAATGTTCAAGAATGTATCGCTTGTTTTGGTATCATTTATGAATTTATGCTTACATACCTGGAATAAATTATTTGAAAATTCACTGCAGGTTGGGTCAAATTTGATAGACACTCAATTGTTTAGCTGACTTAGGAAATGGTATTTCTTAGAGAAAACAGAATTTTATTTTCATGTCTTATCAGTAAAATTTAGATTCAAAATGAAGATATTTCAAGCTATATTTTTACTTAAGTCAAAAGTGTTAATTTCATTTTCACTGTTCACAGTGCCTTTCAAATTTTGTTGTTTAACTTTGAAACACCATCTTCAACTTTTCACTGTGCCTAAAAGCCAAAGTTTTCTGGTCCACATCGAGTCTGTTTTTTGTTATATACATAAGGAGAACTCAATGGGTGTTAGTAATTAAGGGTTTGTATTGTAGGCTTTATGGTAGAATCTCATTGCCAAAGAAATACTTCTCAGAAAGGCAACCTGTTGATGAAGTGAAAAAGACATAGACTTTGAAGTAAAAAACAAAATAAAAAACAAAACAAGACAAAAAATCCTGGGACTCGGTGTCTTATTAAGTCTATTCTTTATAACTGTGTGATCTTAGAAGTATTATTAAACTTTTCTGTCTTTAGTAAGCTGTGAGCAAATATGCAGTGGTTAAAATGGTAGATATTGAAATCTAACTAATTGGGTTTTGATCCACATTAACTATGTAGCTTTAGATAAATTACTTAAACTCTCTTAGGCAACTGCTTTGTGTGTGAATGGGTGTAACCACAGTACTTGTTTTATAGAGCTGTATAATATATGAAAAGTATTTAGATCACTGTCTGTTACAGAATAGTTATTCAATATATGCTGGATATAATTATATTAAATAATCACCATTGCCTTATAATTTCTATTGCTGTCTATAAAATGGAAACAAATGGTATGAACTTTATGGAGGATTAAGTAAAGTAATAAACATAAACCACCTAAAATGGTGCAGAGCAGATGCTCAACAAATGTCAATTGTTATCTGTAAAATACTTTGTAAGTAATTTGTGAAGAGTAATTAAAATAATACATTTTAAAGCCCAGCATGGGGAGCAGAACAGTAAAAATGCTTAATAAATGTTGATGTCAACTTGGAAATATTTTCTTTTTCCACAGACTTAACTATGAAAACATATGAAATTTAAATTATTAGAAATATATTCCACTTAGTAATACTCCTTGTAGCTTTAATATAATGGCGTTTGAAGACCAACTCAGTCTTCATTTAGGTTGACATTAGAGAAAATCTCTCAGATGTCATTTTAAACATCTAAAGAATTATCTACCAACTAATTAATAAAATTGGCACACCCTGCTATGCTTGTGATTCTTCTAAATTCTCCTCATGCTTCAATTTCTATGAGGAGCTTACAGAGACCTTCCACGTTATCTCCCTTTCTGTGGAAGTCTTGCTTTCTTTGGGACATCCGTCTTTTGTATGAAACTGCTCATGCTGTTTGCCTCAGAAAGAACTTCATTTTGGAACTGTGGGAACCACAATAACATCACTGCCTGGTACACTAGTACTCTGGAGATACAATCATTATCTACCCATGCAACACATACTTCACCTGCTTTCTGCAAGCATTTAACAGGGAAAACCACATTTGGGACTGAGAGAACTGGGTTACAAGCCCTGGGGGATGGCAGGAGGTAAGGTAGAGGAGGGGCAGTGATTGGAAGAGTTCCAGACAATCTGTTTATTTTTATTTTTTACTTTCTATGTGAAAATCATGTACCTCCCAGTACCACAATATCAATGCTGCTGCCAGAACTACTTAAGTACTAGCCTCATTTTCCGGGCTGAGAGTCATACTCCTCCATTTACAGTGATTATCAACATTTTTTACACCAAAATGCCCTCAAACCCAGGGGACTTGGCAGAGCTCAACAGCCATGTCAGCAACTTCTCAGTTGTTGGATTTCAGTTTCAGAAATGGAAAATTTCAGAGCCCAGAAGTATGGATACTTTGCTGAACATCTGCTTCCCTCTGCAGGGGGCAGGAGGTAGACAGGGAGAGGTCTTGGTGTTTGTGGTGACTGCTTCCATTGTTTATCTTGGGCTCCCAGGGAGGCAGCAGAGTCTTATGGGAAGAACGCTGGTTTTGGATTAGTCAGATCTGTGTTCACATCCCAACTATTTCACTTATTGCTGTATACTTGAGCAAATTACTTAAGTCTTTCTGAGGTCCATTTTAGTGATCTATAAAATGGATTTTATGAATTCAAAACTTGCAGTGTTAGCATGAGGATTAAATTATGTAATTATGGAAAGGCATCCAAAAGATGTTCTTTTGTCCTTCAACTGTTGCTCAACCATTATGAGATAGGCACATGCAACTCTCTTGGCAACCCCGAACATGGTTTACTTACTACTAGAAGTGTCATAAAACTTGTGTCTGTCTAGGGGAATGTAAGTGAAATAGGCAACTGATCATTTTCCCAGATATCTTTATTTCTATAGGTCCCACCAACCTTATTGACAACAGAGTATAGAGATCTTACATAGGAATTTTTAACTCCAAACTCCATCCCTGTTAACTCCCATCACCTACCATCTTCTCACATTAGTGAAAGTTGATGATTTCTGGCTGCTATTGCTGATATACTTTCCAATCTATTCATCTTTGGCGATCATGTTCTATAGCAGCTGTTGCTGCTCTCAGAGCCTGTCAGAAATGACCAGCTGAGGACCACTGCTGTGGCTCTCAGCTTTGCTGATGGCATTTGTTATCACTTTCTCTCACTTCCTGCTGCTGCCTTTATCACCATGATTCCTGGCACTTCTACCCCTGGAATCTTCTCAGGAGGCCTGTCTCCTTATGGTGATTATAGGCCTAACCAACCTGTAGGATTTTGGACTCTGCTGAGGAACTTGAAACACACAGGTTTACAGAAGTTTGGCTGATATTGTATGAGAGACACCTCCCAGGATTGTACCGTGAACATACACAGTGTCCCTGAACCAGTCAGCATCCAAGAATTGGGTCTGAGAATGTCAAATTCAGCTCCCTTTTACTAAAACATCATTATCCTAGTGTCAGTTCAGGGATCAATTCAGTCTCTAAATGTCTTCTTTGACTCCCAGGTATGACTAATCTGTCATGGTCACAAAGAGGTAAATAGCAAAGTCCTCATCCATGCAGCAACTTGTCCTCAGTGGGGAACTTTGAACTCTACCCTTGGATTTCAATTTTATTTGTTTATATAACTATTGATGCTCTGGGTTGGGGGACAGTTATGAATGAAGGGAATAATAGAGTAAAAGTCATCTTGAAGGATGATGGAAGGTCTCCAAGCAGGTGAATGCAGTCCCAAATCATGGATGCTTAGAGTGCTTTGCATGTAGTTTCATATCTGGAAGAATTTCAGTTACACACGTTTAAGTGATAGCAATTAGTAACAGAAATAGTAACACTAGACATGCACTTTTTGATCTCTTTATAGAAGAGAAGTAAAGACTTTATGAAGGATTGAACTTTGAGTAATGATATACAGAAAAACTTATAAAGCTCTTTATTCTGTTTATTGAGTATATTGATGTTGTTATTCTAGAAAACCAGGCTAGCATGGACCAACCAGAGACACAACATGTAGAAAACAAGAAAATAGAAGAATTCATGCTAAGACGTCATATCAGCCACTTGAGACTTAGATAATGTGGCCATAAAATTTTATCATCCAAACCAGGAGACTCTTGAGAATGAAAAAGGATAATATTACAGTGAAACTTTCCCAGGCACAAAATTAGAATATATGGTCACCCTAGGCTTACAGCCTTGCCATTGCTAGTGAAGATCTATAGGTAGACACTATGAATGTGTGCCTGTGCATGACTAATAATTTATTGTGATTGTTTACATGTAAGTTAACTGTTGTTGAACTATATATTACACATTCCTTAGGAAGGATTCAAGTCATTTGAATTAGTTTTTTTGTTGTTGTTGCATATCTTCAAATTAAAAGAACCACTTTCAGAATTGTTATGAAGAGATACTTGCTCCTTCTTAAAAATTGTAGTTCCCATCTTCATGCCCAAAGAAAGATTAATTTGATTTTATAATTTGAAATGCTAGTTCACCACCAACTTTATTTAATTCTGTGCTCTGCAAACTCTGGAATAAATGCTGATGACTGAGTGGCTCATTGGAGTAAATACTTATGTTTATGCAACCTACTTATTTCTATTCACTACGGAAATATAGTTCTTTTGGTGCTCCTTTTAGTTGTAACAGATTTGAAAATAAAGTTTCACTTATTTACCTATTTTACATGTATCATCGTATTTTGTGATTAAAATAAAATGCATTCATCTTCTAATCTGAAGTATAGAAAAAATAAGTTTTGACATATTTCACACGTCAGGAGACTTTACTCCCAACACTAGCCTTGAGATTATACTTACCTCTCTAAAAAGTAAGTCATTTGCTATAGTATGTATGTAAAGTCATTCAACTTAAAAATATTACATTTGGTCTTGGCCAAAGAAAGGTAGGTTAAGCGATAGGCAGTAAAAGCTGAATAAAGGCATGTTGATTCTCACAGCATCTTTCAAAGTAAAATTTTGCTCTATTTTAAAAGCCACTTCTTCTTAGATTACTCAGATGTCGAGTAAGTACATACAATGTTCCAAATTACTTATTTTCTGTTTAGTGGATAGTCTTTCTGCCCATCTCATTTCAAAATTAATCATGTATTTGAAAGAAATAAAGATAAACTCTATACATCTAAGTACTTGTAGCAAACAGTATATGTTCTGCTTACCTCTACCCCTTCTTCATAAATTGAAGGAAGTCACTCTCTATCCACATCTACTGCTGGCATCCTGCCCTTTCTAATACTGAATAGATTACTTTACTCATGGGGCATGTCCTTTTCTCTCTCTTTTCCAATCAATGTCTGATTGGCTTCCTGGTAACCTTATTCCTGAATGTGTACAGCTAAAATGAAGACCTACAATTTCCTTCTTCTAGCCAAGTTTTATTAAAAAAACTAGAACTTAGAAAAAGCTTACTTTCTTTCCTAAACAGTAAGGAAAAATGAGTACTCTTCTAGCAAAATAATGATATCTTCTGTTTTATTTGCACTTTATTTGTCTTCCAGGAGTTCCTACATTTAGAATTTTCTGCTTGTACCCGATTATTTTATGTCACCTATAACACGCTAGTGGCTGCTTGGCTTCTCTTTTCTTCATGAGTTTTGAGATGACCTGGAGAGATTATTGTGGTATAGCAGTGAGTGGAACAGCCATTCTTTGGCCTACCTGAAATGAAAAGCAAGTATACAGAAACATTTCTATTTCTTCAGCAGGAAGCAAAGATAGAGGGTTCTGTTTTTCACTTATCACTAGTCAAAAAGAATTACAATTCTCAGGAGCAAATTGAAAAGTTAGGGGGAAAATATTTTCAAGAGTACAAGTTCTCCAGGTTTTGAAGGGATTGAACACAACAGATCTAATGGATGTATCAACATTGACATTTGTGAAAATGTGCATGAAGAAATATGCATTAATTTTAAATGACATGCCACAAAAGCCTGAAAAATAATGCATGATTTTCCATCTTCTAACTTAGATGGAAAAACATGTGTTTTGCTCACAATTTTGTCTAAGGGAAATGTGAACTCCCAGCCAATTGCATTCACATGCAGGCCCTTCTTCTGAGATTGCTTTCAAATGTAAGCATAACATATGTTGTTCTGTTAGGAAAATAAATGAATAAAGTTAACTTTTACAATGTAAATTCCTAATATATAGGATTATGGGAGTCGTGTTGTTTAAAACAATGTTTAGTTTTCCCTCTAGGTAGATTCACGGGGGTGGGGATGAGGGGTGAGCAATTTTAACCCTTGCATGGTTTATGTTACCCCATAGTGCCTGCATATGTGTCAGAACAACTTTTCTCTGATACAGCATAGAGAGTCAAGCTCAATAACCACTTGAAGAAGAAGAATAGGCCAATGGCACATGTGTTGACAGATGTGTCTTACCCAGTGGAAGGGAGATAGAGGAAATTAGATGATGAATTTTAAGAACTGAAGCATATACTGTAGTTTTTAGAAATCGCCAAAGATTGTGTTCTTGAAACCACCAAATATGAGTTGGCTGCCTTCAGTAACGTGGAAAAGCCCTTAGAGTCTAAATGGATGAGGTCTGAAATTGGTCCCATGATGAACTGCTAACCAATTTGTCTCAACTGGTGCTTGAATACAGAATTTAAAATGAAGGTCTTCTGGACTGCATTGCAGCCTGCAGAAGAGCACTGAATGATTTATTCTCACTCATTTTCTCCACTTTCCATGCTAAAATATTTTTACATGGTCAATAAATTATGGAGGCTGACATTAACAGAATGAACAATGGATAAAATTATGTGAGCCTGAATATTTATAAGAATGTGAAATTGAAATTTTACTTTTTTTCCAACTAGCTCTGGACTTGTGGGATCTGTTAAATGAAGGCATCTAATTTACTTAATTCAGATTAATTTAGTAAGGAGTCTTGGAAACTGATGAATCATGGGTTATTAATAAAGGAAAAAGAGGGTGCTTAATACTTAGGACATTTTAGTAAAAGAAGGTGACATGTTTGGAATGAGTAAGATACTTTCACTCCTTTTTGGGGAAGCCTTTGGTATTGATACTGAATTTGATCCTGACCTAGAGCAATATATGAGTTCTGATTTGCCAATAATATATATTTGTCATGTAAAGGATCAGGTTAGCATCTGACAGAGGTTGCTTAGGACCAGAGGAGAAGACTAACGTTGCAAGCTGTCCCAACACTAGGGGCATATTCTAATAAAAAAGGAAAGGAAATTTAATTCAGGAATAGTTAGTTATACATTAGAGAAAAGCTAAAATGTTCTACTTGGAGAAGGTTGTATGACTCACTTCTGAGAAAAAAAAAAACTCCACATCTTTTGAGAAATCAAAATATTACAAAAGAACCATTAAGAAATAATCCAGGCAGATAGGGAACAACAGTACTGGCAACTAACATTTTCAGCTTGTAATATAACATCGTTGGTACAATTTTTACTTCATTTACATTTCAAGACTATATTATGAAGACAGGCAGGTCTTAGGTTCTTTTTAGTTTTTGGCTATGAACTCTGTCTTGCATTTATAATAATAATATCAAATATATATTAAGCCTCTGCAGGCCACAAATCTCCATCCTAAGTCTTTGAGCATGTGTCAGGCAGGCAATTAAAAAAAATAGCAAGTATTCCATGGTGTATATGTGCAATATTTTCTTAATCCAGTCTGTCACTGATGGACATGACGAGTTGATAGGTGCAGCACGCCAACATGGCACAAGTATACATATGTAACAAACCTGCACGTTATGCACATGTACCCTAGAACTTAAAGTATAATAATAATAATAAAATACAACGAGGTGTCACCTCACAGCTGTTGGAATGGCTATTATCTAACAGACACAAGATAAGTGTTAGTGAGGATGTGGAGAAAGGGAGACTTTGCACACCGTTGGTGGCAATGTAAATTGGTATATCCATTATGGAAAACAGGATGGAGGTTCCTCAAAAAACTAAAAATAGAACTACTAAAAATAGAACTACTATTTGATCCCAGTAATCTCATTTCCGGGTGCATAACCAAAAGAATTAAAATCAGTATCAAGCCAGACACAGTGGCTCACATCTGTAATCCTAGCACTCTGGGAGGCCGAGGCAGGCGGATCATTGAGGTCAGAGTTTGAAATCAGCCTGACCAAGATGGTGAAACCCCGTCTCTACTAAAAATACAAAAATTAGCTGGGCATGGTGGTGCACACCTGTAATCCCAACTACTTGGGAGGTGGAGACAGGAGAATTGCTTGAGCCTGGGAGGCAGAGGTTGCCATGAGCCAAGATCACGCTGCTGCACTCCAGCCTGGGTGACAGAGCAAAGACTCCATTTCAAAAAAATAATAATAAAAATTAAAAAAAAATAGCAAGAGAACATTTTTGCTAAATGCTTTATACTATATTGCTTTATACCTGGATTTTGCACAATCAGTAGTCTTCAAGTTTTATGTGTTTTTCATGCCTGAAGGGGGAAATATATTTTCTGGAATCCATTAGGATCTAAATATTTGACTTTTTTTCTAGATGCCAACTTCCTGAGCTCAAAGGTACTGACATGACAAGCACATGGAATGTATGAAATGCTTGTGACCTCATGAACATTGAAATGAGAGATGACGAAGTTTATTTTTAGCAGAGTGTTTAGAGGAGTCCCATGGGCTAATTTTCGCTTAGGGCTTTATATAACAGTTGAAGATGTGCTAATAGGGAACACTGCCAAAGTCTATGATTATTGCTATTTAGCAATTTAAGAGCTTTAAGCAC